TTAACTAACGGCAACCTGCGGTCACAACACCATTTATGCATCAGTTTGGCCTTAAAAACTATAGGGGAAAATTACAGTAAAAAGAATTTTTCTCAGGTCTCAGAGCGTGTAGAAAGTCAACACAATTCTTGCCCATCTGACTCAGAATAAAGTTGTATAATTAATTTGAGATTAACCCAAACAGACCTAATAAATTCACCAACAGAAGCCTATTAAACTTTCTTAAGGTTTTCCATGAATTTTGTGGGTTATAAAAGAATAAGAATACAACTTTATAGTAATGGTGTATTTTACAAAGGGCATTTCTCTTCAGGCTAAGCATAATGGAAGGTTGAGACAATTAGATGGAAATTTCAGGCATAATAAGCTTCCTTCTGAAGTAAATTACTTACTTTTTTTTAGAATCCTCAGATTGACAGTCTTCCCATTATCTAATTTTCTGGATAGCTGCTTTAGTCTGTCATGTTAGCCTCTATAAGCAGGGTTACAGAGAGGGAAACCAACAAATGTCTGCAGGTGCCCCAAAACATTTTTAGGTAACACTTCAAGTTTCAAAGATTACCTAAACAATATCTTTAATCGCGGCAGCCCAGCTAACTCAAGATTTTGAAGCACAGTGGAAAGTTCTTGTTTGCTTTTGTTCTCCCAGCCAATCCAATTGCTCTTAGCAGGGATACCCAACCTATGTTCTACAGCAGCCGTGGGCAAACTACGGCCCGCGGGCCAGATCCAGCCCGTTTGAAATGAATAAAACTATTGAAAAAAAAGACCGTACCCTTTTATGTAATGATGTTTACTTTGAATTTATATTAGTTCATACAAACACTCCATCCATGCTTTTGTTCCGGCCCTCCGGTCCAGTTTAAGAACCCATTGTGGCCCTTGAGTCAAAAAGTTTGCCCACCCCTGTTCTACAGGATGGAAAATGACAATGTGATTGAAGTGAGATTTCTCCACCAAGTAATCACTTCAATAAGAAAACATATTGACAATATATTTACAAGGTTTAGAGCCCAAAGTTGTGTAGGAAGGGAGCTATACATCAAAGCCTCAGCTGAAGAAAATTGTAAAGTGTTCATGTGGACTGGCCAAGATTAACCAGTATTGCCAGAACACCCTCACCCTTATGATATACATGCTAACAACTTGATGGTGTGATGATAGAAAGACACATAAAACAGCTTTTTTTTTTTTTTTCCTGGCATAGAGCCCTATTGTAAACCTGGAGATATTTAATTTTTTTGTTAATCCTCACCGAGGATATTTTTTCCATTGATTTTTAGAGAAAGTGGAAAGGAGGGAGGGGGAGAGAGAGGGAGACACATCGATTGGTTGCCTCCCACTAGCACCCTGACCAGGGCCCAAGAAGGTACCCTTGACTGGAAATAGAACTCAAGGCCCTTTGGTCCTTGGGCCTATGCTCTACCACTGAACCACACCAGCCAGAGTTAAACCTGGAGAAATTTAAATAACCCATCTCAGCCATGATCCAGCTATGTGTAGGGATTAAAAGAAGCCACTGAAATGTATAATAAATAGATTTATTCTGCATACAACGCTCTTCCTGCCAGCCTCTGGGGTTGAGAATGTTGCATCTAACCCAATTTTAAGATGGAAAAAGATAAAATCAGGAGATATAATGAAATAGCAGAACTTTATTAGCTTGTAGGACATCTGCACAAAAATGAATGCAGTTGTGGAAGGATAGAGATTCATTTGTCATGTCAAGAAAAATTAATCTTTAAAAGTATACATATATTCCCGAAGATTGCTAAAGAAATGAGACTCAGTCTTTTGAGTGCCATTATTCTTCCATTACATGCTGCAAATTCTCTGAGGTACTATGCTCCTGTATAACACTGTAATACTGCTCTTGAGCTCTTGGTAAATGTTGCCGCTTCCTCTTCCCCATATACTTTCTCATCTAAAATATAACAGCCAACTGATGTCTGGTTTATGTTTTACTTAACTCTTATTATTGACTAGAGGCCCGGTGCACATTTGTGCACTCGGTGGGGGTCCCTCAGCCCAGCCTGTGCCCTCTCGCAGTCTGGGACCCCTTGGGGGATGACCACCTGCTGACTTAGACCTGCTCCCCAGGGGGATTGGGCCTAAGATGGCAATCAGACATCCCTCTGGCAGCTCAGCAACCCTCGGGGATGTCCACTTGCCAGCAGGGAGCAGACCTAAGCTGCAGTCACACATCCTTAGCACTGCTGAGGAAGCAGGAGAGGCTCCCACCACCACCGCTGTACTGGCAGCCATCAGCCTGGCTTGTGGCTGAGCAGAGCTCCCCTATGTGAGAGCACACTGACCACCAGAGGGCAGCTCCTGCATTGAACATCTGCCCCCTGGTGGTCAGTGTGTGTCATAGTGACCAGTCATTCCCAGTCTTTGTGCTGTTCGGGTCAGTTTGCATATTATCCTTTTACTATATAGGATAGAGGCCTGGTGCACGGGTAGGGACCGGCTGGTTTGCCTTGAAAGGTGTCCTGGATCAGGGTGGGGGTCCCGCTTGGGTGCCTGGCCAGGCTGGGTGAGGGGCTGATGGCTGTTTGCAGCTGGTCACACCCCCTTCAGGGTGGGGGTCCCCACTGGGGCGCCTGGCCAGTCTGGGTGAGGGGCTGAGGGCCGTTTTCAGGCTGGCGGGCAACTGAAGCTTCCAGCCTCTCCTTTTTTTCTTTTTCTTTTTATTCTGGGATTTATTGACCTTCTATAATTGAAACATTGTTGCTGTCACTGGCGCTCCCAGCTCTGAGGCCGTGGCCAGCTAAAAGCAGGTATCTGGGGTTTGTTTAGCTTCTATAATTAAAACATTGTTGCTTCCGGAGCTCAGAGCCGGGCCGCACCAGGCGAGGAACCTTGGCTTCCTCCATCACTGGAGCAAGCAAACCTCCTGCTCGCTTCAGCTGCATGGCTGCTGGCCACCATCTTTGTTGGCAGTTAATTTGCATATCGCCCTGATTAGCCAATGGGAATCGTAGTGGAGGTACGGTTAATTACCCTTTTTGTCTTTTATTAGATAGGATTTCACCTCTTCATTGTTATACTGAACACAAACTATGAGAAACAAATATGAGTACCTCAGAGCTTCTTCACTTTGGGATGAGATTCTCCAGAATAGGAAGAACAGGCAAATGAATGCATGAATGGGCTGCTGTGTTTAACCTGTCTGTAAATACATGTTTATGTCTCTTGGTAACAGGTCACCCCTTTGAACAAGTAATCATTTAAAGTTTAATTTTAATCTACACATCAGAGCTGAAGATGTGGAATTGCTTAGGCTATTCTTTCAGCCTCTTTCCCTCTTTGATTTTCAAGATAAAGCCAATTAATTAATGTGCACTTTTCAACTGAAAAAACGATTAAGACCCAGCTGTGACTGTAAAATTATAAGTTGTAATGCAACACTCCGGACTTGTTAATGCTTTTTTTGGCATGAAAAATAGAGACATAGGTATCTTATATTAAGTGGTGTTCTAAAAAGCATAAGTTAGCAGTTTGTTACTAAGTTTGACCTTTCTACACACAAATCTTAAATGATTGATGGACTAATGTAAAATAGCTTTGTTCAAAAGAGATCATCTTTGGCAGGCTACTTCTAAGGCTTTACTACTCTGGAGAGATGATAAGATATCCTCATTTTACATTAACTTCCCTGATAGATCAACACTTATTTGAAATATGCCTCAGAATTATGTGATATTTACTGTTTTAATAGTCTTCTTTCACTGTATCCAGCTGCTCTACATGGAATGGTTGTTACTTCTAAGATTTAGAGATTTTTTTCTACACATAAAGAGCATCTTTAGGAAAATACAGATGGGTAGAACAGTATATCTGGCATTTTTATTCATGACTATTTCATTGCAAGGTGGTATATGAGACTAAAATATACAGAGATATGCTTTTTAAAAAAATCAACCTTCCTATTTCAATATGTGGCTTCAAATTCTCCCTAGAGTATTCTTCAGAGTCTGAAAAGAACTATTTACTTCTTTTTAATCACAGACTCTGTAATTTTATGTATGTCTAAGGTCACTATAGAATTACTATGGAATTCCAGAAAGCAAGGGTAAAAATCTCAATTAAAGGGTCAAGCAGGTAATAGAAACAGTGAATGGGACCAGTTATAGGTATAGGAGCGTGTGTGTGTGTGGGGGGGGGGGGGGGGGAGTAGGGAGAGGTGTGGTGCCTGAGAGGAACTGTTATTTTAAATATGAAAGATATTCTGGCCCTAACTGGTAGCTCAGTGGTTAGAGCGTCAACCCTCAAACTGAAGGGTCTTGGGTTGAATTCCTGTCAAGGGCACGTACCTCAGTTGCAGGCTCGATCCCAGCCCCAGTTGAGGTGCTGGTGGGAGGCAACCAATTGATGTGTCTCTCTTGCATGATGTTTCTCTATGTTTCTCCCCCTCCCTTCCACTCTCTCTAAAAATCAATAGAAAAAAATACTCAGGTGAGGATTTAAAAGAAAAGAAGAAAGAAAGATATTCTGATTTGTCTAAAGGTTAGAAATCTCCTAATTTTTCAATATTGGCAACTACAAAATTTTGAAAGATCCTGGGCTGGCCAAACAAAACACGTCTGAGGGATGTCTTGCTGCTAAAAACCTGCTGAGAAGGAAAAGGGATTTACACCTTTAAAAAAAATGTTTCTTCAGTTGTTCACATTTTGAGGGGTGCCATTTCGTAATTGTGAAATAGCCGCCGATAATAGCCTATTATAGGCTGAGGACAGAGGAACGAAGGCTCTCTGTCACATGTCTGGGAGAAGCTTTGTGAAAGCGCGGGTGCCTGGGGAAGGCGGTGTGCCGTAGGGTAATGGATGGATGCAGGTTCCTTATGTGAAACACAATAATCAGTGAATTCACAATGGATAAGATATGAAGCAGAGACTTCTTCTCTCTTAAATTTACCGTCAAGGCCATTTCATTTTTATGGAGCTGAATAAAGCTGACTTGCAAAAAGAGAAAGAAAATCCTTCTTTGCTCTTTGGCAGGGTGAAGTAGAGAAAGAAAGTCTCCCCCTGAACTACTATGAGGCCAGAAGCCTTGCTGCTATATCTCACACTGCTGCACTGCGCTGGGGCTGGCTTCCCAGAAGATTCTGAGCCAATCAGTATTTCGCATGGCAACTGTAAGTACCCACAATCCCACTCTCTCCCTTTGTGGACACTGTCGCGTGCATCAGCCAGTGAAACATTAAAAAGTTTAATAGAATAGGAGACTTATTGGTCACTTTGAACTTGTGCAGGTGGCAAAGTTAATTCAAGTCAAGTCGGTGGAATGCCCATTCTATAACTTCATTAAATGCTGTTGTATGACACATACATGTGAGCATTTGAAACGTTCCTCAATACTTTCAATGAAGTCTCCATTACCACATGGAGGCTGTGATCCAGCTGGAAACCAGCTGTGAAACAATATCACTCTCCCTTGGGTATTACTAGTATTGCACATTTTCATATGTAATTAACATATGAATTTTCCTAGAAGATAAGGACAGAAAATAGTAAGACTGCTTTGGAGCATTCTAGAGACAAAGATGAACTTTTTTTTAGACTTAGAGATTATATCATTGCTAGATTTAGGTAGAGTGAATTTTAATCCTGAAGGCCTATTTTAACTGTTTATACAATTTTCCTTTTGGTCTGCTTCATTATCAAGGATAGAAAGCAACATGACTGAGAATTTAGTTGATTCCTCAAATGAAGAAAATTTACTTGTACATTGGATGGAGCAGCCAATGTACTGTTTTTTTTCCTTCCCTCCAAAAGACAAAATATTTTATCGCAGTAAAAATGAAAGAGTGCATTTCCCCCTAATATATATTTTTCCAGTAATTATCCCCAAACAAACATCGAATAAACCATACAAAAGGTGTTTAAACTAATATGGAATACTGATAAGATCCATTAATGCCCAGCTTTCTGCTGGATGGTCCGGGATGAAAAAGATAATTTTATAAGGTGAGGTGGCGAGACTGATACATAAAACAATGAGAGAACAGAAGTCAGAGCATGACTGAGGCCAAATTATGTAGTTTAAGATCATCATTCTTGAAGTGGCAGAGTCCACTTAATTCAAGGTACCAAACCTTAGTAAGCACTTATTTAGCACCATTTGAGATAGGTATACAGAAGAGACCCCAGCCCAAATGTGCTGCTGAAAGGATACTCCAGTGAGCACCTGAACCTTGATAGTACCGAGACATGCTACTGTTTGAGCAAGCTCCTTAATGAATGGGTAAATGAAATTTCAGAGCAGTGGAGAGAAAGGCACGAGATAATTCCATACTAAAGCTTAATTGTGAGTAAAATAACTGTGGCTCCTGAATAAGACACCCTCTGTGAGTCATACCCAGATACTACTGAGGTTTATAGTGACGGGTCTGAGCATAAATCTGTGAATGGTTTTCGAGTCATTATATGCCCACCCAACCGCCTGAAAACAAATGCCTTTTAAATGTGACTCATCTTTCTTTCCTCCTTAGTTTCTTTGGGGGAATGCTTGTGCTCCGAAGTTGGTAGGATTGCAGGCAGAGAGGTTTTTGAGATGTAGGTATGTCTAAAGGTCAGGCATTATTACAAATTGCGCACTGTCAACCAAAGAGAACTGTGAGAAAGGAGAAATAGGCTCACTCACTCTCCAAGCCAGGGAAAGTCCAGATCACCCGACTGGCTACACTCAGTTTGACCCTGTCCTGTCAAAGTGCCCGTTACTGTGAGATCAACCAATTGCTTCACTCAAGAGCAAACTTCCCACAGTTCCTAGAATGCCAACCAACCTAGCGGGGCCGCCTTCAATGGCAGATTATTCCAACTGGACGCCTGTGGAGACTGTATTTTTCTTCTGGCTCCTGGTCGAGGGCTCTCGCCTCCAGACCACATTGCCTTTGTGGTGATTGATGGGAAGGCCGCTTTGAAACAGTTTTGTCCCGAGACAAGATCTTTGGCAGACTGCCCCCCAGGCTTAGCACTCTAAAGAAGATGAAAAGAGAACTGGGGAAAAAGAGCACCTTCATGTAAAGGGTTCACTTGCAAGTTTAAGCCCCAGGAAGAGGGACAAGTCAGAAATGGTGACACTTGGAAATATAAATGCAGGCTTATTACCATCTGAAAATGAAACTGTAACATGATCATTCTTTTAAAGAGCACTCTTCCATCATAATTTTTCCTAAAATAACAGACTCATTGAAGATGGAAAATGGTTCTATGGTCTGACTTAAATATGGTTTTGTTTTGTAGACAGCCCCCTTTCTCTCCCTGCCCTGTCAATTCTTGGCTTGATTTCCTTTTCCCTTTGTTGCCCCATCTCCTCTTTTCACAGATACAAAACAGTATCCGGTGTTTGTGGGCCACAAGCCAGGACGGAACAGCACACAGAGGCACCGACTGGACATCCAGATGATCATGATCATGAACAGGACCCTCTACATCGCTGCCCGGTGAGTGGCCTGGTCCACAGCTCTGCCTTCCAAGCATCTGAAAGTCCTAAGATATAAATGGACCCGCTATGCATCTTGTTAAAAAGACCATGACATTCCCAAACAGAGTGTTATTTAATTAAAGGCTACTTTAGTGTGTCAAGCAATCATTCTTTTGAGACTTTCTGTGTCTGCCTGATGTAATACGGCTTTAGATAATTGCCTATTTTGGATTTTAGACTCAAGTAATCCAATGTTTTTCTGGGACATATATGCTAGTATTTATTCAAGCACTGAGTAGAGTGCCTTTCTCCTTGATACTTGTTTGTTAAATTAAGTTGAATGTGTAAACATGTATTATTATATAGTTTGTGTATATTAAACCTGTTTGTATTTCTGCAGTGAATGGATAGTATATATCATTACTTTAACAGATTGGCAGTAGCACCCAAAGAATCTTTGATTTGGATCTAGTAAGAAAATATTCATCCACTGGGGAAATGTCATTTAAACACACTATGTCTTAAAGCTGACTGGCATGGTAAGAAAACTGCCTAAACAGGTGTCACATGGATTTAGGCTTTTGTTTTAAGTTCGCTCTTGATTTACCTGGAATATTTCTCTGTCAAATGAGAGGTTGGAATAGATTATCTTAATGAAGTCTCTTGGGATTCTAACAATGTATGATCCCCTTTTGAAGGTGTGTAGCACATTCAAAATAATCTCTAAATGAACAGAAATAAGGAATACCATCATGTGAAATTCCACTGTGGTCTTACTGAGTCTAGATTGATTAATAATCTCACACAGGGAGAAAGAAACAGATTGTGTTTGTGGTTCTTGTCTGGCTGTGAGCACAGGTAAAGAACAGGTAAATGACAACAGTGGTTGATTCTTTTAAAGCACGTAGATTTTCTGAAATGACAAGCTGTATGACAAAGTAAAAACAACAACAAAACCATCGGTGAGATTAAAATATCCTGCAAGTACCCCGCATATGGTCACAGGGAGCAATGTCAAAACACTTTTTTAAAATTTCAGTTCACAAAAACTATATAGTACATACTAGTTGTATGTGCCCTATAAATTGCAAATATAATTTTAAGTTCTTTAGAAATGCTAATTCACTCGATCCTGAAAGAAACCCTATGAGAAGGAGATATTATTATTCCTCATGTCTTATGGGAGGAAACCAAAGTACAAAGAGGTAAATGATTAGGTCCAAATGACAGAGCAGGATTTGAACCAGAATGGTCTTGTTTTAGAGTCTGAGTCATTACTCCCTATACTGTACAGCCTACTGAGCAGTAGAGGTGGTAATATCTGTCCTGGGAATAACCTTCTAAGAGCTATTGCCCAAGAACATAGTCATTGCATGCATTCATTAAAAAGCATTTCAACAAGGTCTTCAGTAGACATGTCTGTAGCAGAATATTAACTTCTTCTTAAATACTTTTTGTTTCCTAAATGTAGCAGGGCGGGAAGACTACATTTGTATCCAAACAAATGATTAAACATTGGGTCTGTGAGAATAGGCTGACTCGATAATGTTCTATAGATTGTTCACTTTGCAATGGAATCTCTGGATGATATGCCTGATGATTTAGCATGGCTGTGGGCTGCAGTTCCAGGGTGTACCTGAGTTAGGAGCAAAGTGCTATGCAAACCTAATCCTGACCATTATTCCAGCTGGTTAAAACCGTTTTTAAACTAACCCCTTGTACCAAGAAAAGGAGAAAGAAGAAATGGAAGGGGAAAAAGGAGAAACACATTCAATTTTTAAAAACTATGAAGCAGACTCGCCTTTTGTTAGAGGTAAAATTTATAAAACCCTAGCACTGACAAGCTGTTTTCACTCTATACTCAGCCACTACCCTTCAATACACACTCTTGGAAGATTCCTAAAGGAGTTCCGTGGCTGCCATCTTTAGGGTCTTTCCTCTCACTTTAATTTCACATTTCCCATCATTGCTCTGAGAGATCCAGGTTCCTAGGCAGCAAATAACACGATTTCAAGTTAAATCCTTCCACCAGGCTCAAGCCAAGGCAACACAATTCAGTGGTATTTACTGGAATGGGAAAGAGGAAGGCCTAGGATTAAGTCAGTTTATGTTCAAATAACTTAATTCAGTAAGGGCTGGGTATGAATCCTAGGAGGCACTCGTTGGTGCTTGGGAATACCCTCTGACCCTGGACTGCTTGTGTTTGCTGGGCAGTGAGATCTCTTGGATATTGAAAAAGACTGCATTGTCCAAAAGGAGATTTCATTCACAGATTGTATTGTTAAAAGGCTTCCCAGTGCTTCTAGACAGTTGGTGTCAGCAATCGGAAGCGCCATCCAGAACCCAGGGACTGACTGAGGCTTGATGGCACGAACCCCTTTCAATTCTGCTTCATTATTATCCATTTTGTAAATTCTTTTCTTCCCTTTAATCTCTAAACTGCTAATTAACATAAACAGGTCATGCCAGGAGGGGGCAATCCCAGAGCTTTCTGAGGAATTGCCAATGCATATTAATCAGCTGTTAATTTACAATTCATATATTCAGCTCCTACTTAAAGTTCTAAGGAGAGGCAGGGCAAAGAAAACCTGGAGTCCTCTCAAACCTGATTCCAAAGTCATAGGCAATTCCATTCCAATAATGAGCCTGACCCACAGCTCCACCAATAAAGTCAAACAAGTAATAAAAGAATGTAATAAAACTGCCTGGAAATTAAAGGGCAGCGAAATTCTGGCACCCTACTGAAGTTTGAAGAACTTCCCAATTCAGCAATTTACAAAGCAGGCTCCCTGTTCTCCCCCTCACACATTCTCACTCTCTTTCTCTCTCTCTCTCTCTCTCTCTCTCTCTCTTCCATAGCAGGCAAGGAAATTTTCTAAGCCCACTGCCTTGCTCTCTTCTTTTATTTTCACATGAGAGAGCCTGTTTTTACATTTTATCGATTGTACCTTCTCTTAAAATGGTAGCAAACAGATTTCAAAAATATTGGGAGGGAAAATTGGGGGAGGGGGGATTGAAGTAAATCCTGACAGATAATTCCTTTCTTTCCCCTTTCCTTTCTCTCCCCCGCCCCCCACCCCGCCTTCCTTTTAAGTAATGAGGGACTTGAAAGTCTGCATGGGAGCCTGGAGGTCTTGGTTTAAAGCTGTGGGTAATTTTCCAGCCTCAGGACTTCCTGCATTTTAGAAAAAGTCAATGTTATTTCAAAGGAAAATGAGCTGTTTTGCTTTCCCTCACTAGCCCCCCATCTCCCCAGTTGAGTGTAGTTCTTTTCTTTTCTTTCTTCTGAATTCCAGACAAAAACACCCTTGTACTCAGCTCAAACAGAAGGGGATGTTTAAATATAGCCCCACACCTGAGCTGCCGATTCCTTTCTCCCCTTCCTAGGGGAGATTGGCAGCGAGTCACAAAGACAACCCAAGTTCTCAGCGAAACAGGAAGGTGAACAGAAGCAAGAAAAGGAAACTTAGGCTCAAGTACATTTTAGACCTTAATTGACCATCCTTGTGTGAAGAAGAGAGTGACTTCTGGAAATAGTTTTCCCTTTATCATCTTCGTCTTGCCAATCATATCACCAAAGCGAAGGCTGAGAGACGGAGATAAACCTTAGCTTTCGTTCGCCCCCCTGATGAACAGATGCTGCATGCTGAATACCAAGTGTCTGGTACATGGGTTTGAAGATACTGAAATGGGAACACATCTATATTCCAATTTGGGGGCCAATTTAACTTTCGTAGTCCTTTCTCCTGAACTACGATATGCAGAGGTTACAGTTCTGATATGAGAGAGACTGCAGGAGAGTTCTCATAATAGATGCCAGCGTATCCAAAGGTGCTGAAAGCTCTTCCCACTTCCTTGCACGTGGGTGTCTTGTTTTTTTATAGCGGGATATGGATTTATCTGCCTTGGGTGAGATACATACTCATTCAGGAGAAAATGAACTGTCTTGATGCTTATGTTTGACATTGTATTCATTTTTCTTTGTTTCTAGGGACCATATTTATACTGTTGATATAGACACATCACACACAGAAGAAATTTATTGTAGCAAAGTAAGTAGTTTTAAAACCATCCTTCTGAAATGAAGGACTTCAGGATAATTCTTGAAGAGAATTTGTATTTTAAATGCATGGATTGGGAGGACATGGCTAATAATAATTGAAGATAATTTTGTGAGATCTTAATTTGGGGCTAAGTTAGGGCTTCATATGTGTTCAGAAACAGTTGTATATGTCATATTTTATTCATCATATATGGGAGCATACACATTTTGGAGTCTTAGGTAATTCCTATAGTCCTTCAATAAAATATTGCCATGTTTGTCCAGGAAAATATCAGTTTTCATGTGTAAAACTTTGTCCCACGAATGTTTAAATGTTATGTTTCCAGGTCTTGCAGTATTAAGTTTGATTTGACGGTTGTGGCTCAGGAATTTGATCCTTATCCATTTCAGACAGACATAATATATAGCCTGGGCTCCCCTGATATCTCCGCATGGAGGTATTTTAGTTACTAAAATCTGCCATAGAAGTAGACGACCCCTTTCGTTCACGAATTTACGTGGCGTGTAGCCTGAATTAAAGCTTTGTCCACCTAAAGTGAATGTCTCCTTTATTTTTAAGAAAATGACTTCCATATTTTAAGGAAAAAGCCTGCGTTATGAAAATTGATTTATCAACTGAAAGGAAAGGGCAACGGCATGTGTTTTGTCAAAATGAGCATGAGTTAGCAAGTTAATGGGGTATTTCATGTGAAATTTCCACAGGTGTTTATTCTTCTTTTCCTCCATCTGTATCTCAAAGAAAAGATCATCTTGTAGTTTAATGAATACACAGGAGTTCAGTGAACATTTCCATCTTTAATCTTTTCTTGTTATGGTGAGTTAACCATGGAGAAAGGGTGTAGAAAGCTGTCAATAAATATATGTTCAGCCTCTAGTCTCCCCAAGGGAACTCTTACTTCTAAAATCAAATGCAACAATCTCTGGGCTCTCATTGATTTCTTTCTTGGTCCCTGCAGAAACTGACATGGAAATCTAAACAGGCTGATGTAGACACATGCAGAATGAAGGGAAAACATAAGGTAGGCAATTTTCATTTCTCCTGCAGCTGACACTTTGGGTTAAGGTTTGGACTGTTATCTCTAGCCATAGACCGTGATGTGGAATGATTCACGCTAGTAGTCCCTTTACCACCAGTAACTGCTTTTTCCATCAACTTATTGAAGGCTTTAATTTGCAAAAATAGTTTGCTTTGAATGTGATGAAACACCAGGACATCGGCTAGGGCTGCATCACGAACTACTTAGGGGCACTGGGGATTATGGGCACAAAGCCGGCTGCCCTGACTCTTCTAAGTGCACTTTCTAGCAGCCCACCTCACAGTCCAAAGCCCCCAGGGACTCTGCAGAACAGCTTGGAAAAGGCTGCTGCAGGCACACAGGGGTTGTTCCTTTGGCCACAGCACCACATAAAACCACACTTCAGCCTAGAGTCGTCCTGTCTATCAAGAAACCCTACGACATCTGGAATTAAAATTAACACAATGGGAGGTGGCCAATTCCAGGCTTGCCTTCTTTTTGTGACATAAACACAGGCTCTACGCCCTGTCTTTATTTACTGTTCTAAAGGCAATTGTTGTTGTCAATATCATCTTCCGGTAAACATGTGGAGGAGCTCAAACTTTTAACAGACGGGCGCCTCGGCCACCTTCCTTCTAACCTGACTGTCTAGATCACCGTACACAGCAAAGAACAGGTTTCTGGGTTGAATGGATTGAATACAAAGGAGTTTCGATTATTTTTCAGGATGAGTGTCACAACTTCATTAAAGTTATTCTAAAGAAAAACGATGAGACTTTGTTTGTCTGTGGAACTAATGCCTTCAACCCTTCCTGCAGAAACTATAAGGTAAGTGCGATTTCCTCTGTTGGCACCACATGTCCTGGAGGTATTTCATAATTCACTGTGATTGTACCGGCAGCAACCTAAGAGGGGTTGAATTACCTGGGCTCCTCTCTCTTGCTGGACTTAATGTATTGTTCCACGTGAGTGATCCTGAACAAGCTTCTAAGCTTCCTGTTAGTTCAGGATTGACTGACAGGTCTTTAAAGAGCCTAGCAAGCAAAGTTGGTTTCTATAAGACCCTATTCTTTATTGTTCAGAACACCAACATACTTACCACACATACCATGTGGATTTTCTCTCTCTTCCTTTCTCTTTCTCCCTCCCACCTCTCTGAGCACAGAAACACACTCATATTTATTGTGAGTCATTCCTATTTTTAAAGGTATCTCAAAAGCAGACCATTGGAACCTGTAGACTTTCCCTCTAAGTAAAATTTTCAAGAACACAGTAATTTAATTCCATTTACTACTCTGCTTACTTAACCATGGCCTTACCTTCCTTGGCCTTTATGCAAGGGAAAACAATTAACTCTCAAAGCCTTAATAAATCTGGCTAGTTCTGATGCAGCTGATAGAGCTATTGCTGAAGAAGTGGGAGCCACCAGCTGCAAAGCAGAGGTGGCAATGATCTGAGGTCCAGGCTCCACAGTTGTAGTTCTCCCTGTCCCTTCTTTCTGCTACAGTCTTTCGTTCAGCATATATTGAGTTTCTCCAATGGCCAGGCCAAGTTTAAGGACAGACAAGAGGTCTCCATCCTTAGGGAAGCCAGACTAAAAGAAGAAACCACAATTCCACAGGGTTGCTGCCATGGCAACATAATGCAGAGTATTATGGAAGTACAACAGAAAAGTACTTAGCCTGAGATGAGGAGTCTGGGAAAGCTTCCAGGTAGATGAAAGAGGCAGATGACCCCTCTCTTCAATCATCCCCCACCCTGCTGTTCTTACATATGGTACACAAACACCTGCTGCCTGGAAGAAACCCCTAAACTCTATGAGTGCAGGAACCACACCTGTGGTTGCCCAGAACCTGACATAGTGCCTCCAAACAGCTGCTCAATTGATTTTTGTGAGATAGTGAATGAGATAATGCCTAACCTTTGTCTTAAAGAAGTAGAAGTTAGCCAAATGAAGGGAAGGGCAATCCAGGTAGGCGGGACAGCGTGAACTAAGGGCATGGAGTAAACCTGGTCAGTTGAGCTTCGGAATCTTCATTTGGCTCTGGAGTGATGGACTGTGAAGTGACAAGTAGTAACAAAAAAGAGGCTGGGGAGGTAGGTGACCTCATAGGTGAAAGGAAGAGAACAGATTCAGGAAATACTTAAGTGACAAAAATCAATAGGACTCAATAACTGATAAGCACAGGATAACGAGAGGGAAGAGTTAAGAATTACCACTAGGTGTCTCTTGGGTGAATGGATGAAGCGGGCTGCCTTGTTTAGACAAGGGATGATGGAAGAGCATTGGGGTTGAGCAGAGTAGTGAGGAGATGGGTTCAGTTTTGTGCAATATGAGTATGCATAGCACTGCGGATGGCAATGCCTATGAGACATGAACAGAGATATCTAACAAGAAGCTGGATGGCTAAGCCTTGATTTAGGGAGAGAGGTGGGGAGTACTAAAGATTTGGGTTTCACCAGCATAAAGTGAAACCCTGAGGTATGAAAATGAGAAAATGTATCAGAACCAGGAGGGCACCAGCCTTTGCTTTCACAGTTTTCAGAGACCTTCTGCCTTAGACATTGGAGGGTCTGTTTTACCCTAATGCTCATCTTCAGTCTGATACTTGGAAATGGGCACCAGGATTAGGGTGAGGCAAGTGAGGCACTCAAGTGCTAAATATAAGGGCACCAAAAAATTCAGTAATCAAGCAAGATAAATGATGTTTTTAATGCAATATTTTTAAAAACCTAAATAGATGAAAAAATACTATCATAAAGTATCAAAAACTTAAATAATGTCAGGATCCATGCAGTTTATAATAAAGGCAACCAATCCAGTCGACCATTTACTCTAGCCAATAAGAGCACACAGCTGAAGTTTTCACTTTAATTCTACCACTTAATATTCCATTTGTCATTGTTTAGGACTCATTAAGACAAATGCTTCTAACAAATCCCAACACACTCCCTAGCTGGAGGGCTATCTTTTATGACAAAATACAGGCCGAGAGTGATCTCCCTCATCCTTCCCGCACATGTTCCATTCCCAGGATGCCTCACCTGTGGTGATACCTTCACCGCTCACTTGTGCTAGCCTCATGTTCCAGGAGCACGAGCCTCTGAAAAACCAGACAAGATGTACTTCCTGTGCAGGCCCCATCTATATGCCTAGCATGGCGAATGGTCGTGAGAACACTTGGCATTGCTCAGAAAAGTGTTCTTTTACGTATTTATTTATTTATTATTTTTAATCCTCACCTGGGGATATTTTTCCACTGATTTTTAGAGAGAATGGAAGAGAGAGGGAAAGACAGAGAAATATCGATGTGAGAGAAACACAGTGATTAGTTGCCTCCTGCACGAACCCCAACCAGGGCCCAGGCCAGGGAGGAGCCTGCAACCGAGGTTCAGCCTTGATCAGAATCGAACCCAGGACCCTTTGGCCCACAGGACAAGGCTCTATCCACTGAGCCAAACCGACTAGGGCCGAAAAGTTTTCAAATACATATTGTATTTGGCTTCAGAGAGAATGGACAGACTCTCTCTTAAGCACTTTTTATCAACAGATCAGAGCCAAAGATTTAAAACCCTTTGCGGTCCAATGTTATTTTGGGAATTCAAACAGTCTGGTCCAAATTAATTGACGGGATTGAATGTTGAACTTTTTAATGTTCTTATTGCTCGACTTTGGACCTGTTCCTAGCACCTGGTCTGTCGAGTCAGCCTCAAGGTTGGACCGAAAAGGGTTAAAGCAAAAACACTGACCAGTCTTCCACTGAAAATCCCAAATCCCATAGTTGATACAGAGGCAGCAAGTTGATTAGAATAACTTGAAGCAGGAGGGTGACGTTTGCTCTCTGCTTCTGCTCCATGCCTTTACTTATGTAAAAAAGGCTGAATGTGTTAGAAAGATTATGGCCCCAAATAAGATTATCTGGGGAAGAATTCTGAAGGCTATCCACTATAAATCTAAAACTGCACTCCATACCTTTTCCCTCCTGTGCTCTAAAGCTCTTGAACTTCTGCAAACGTCAGGCTGGTTCTTAGCATATTTATCTGTACCCTACGGTGATTTAATTTCCCAGGGGCTGCTGTCAAGTCTGAGGCTTGATGACTAATGCAAAGATTAGTTCTTGCTTCATGAAAAGAGGATTTCACTGCGGCATTGTTTTGTCTCTGCACTTTCCATACTCACAAACCAATCTATTAATTCTTCCCTGCTTCCTGTCTTTGAATAGCTGTGCTATGGCCACTGTTTTAGAAGTAGGTACATTTAAAAAATGTCTCCCCATTGTACATTGTTTCCCCAATGCCAGGATTACACAGTGCACTGCTTGGGAGAAGGGCATTTCTGTTGCATCACTGTGTACTAAGCATCTTTTTGTTGTTGTTGTTAATCTTCACCCGAGGACATTTTTCTCTATTGATTCTTTTTAGAGAGAATGAAAGGGAGGAAGGGGCAAGGAGAGAGGAAGAGGGGGAGAGAGTGAGAGAGATTACACTCTAACCACTTTGCAATACTGGCCTAAGCATCTCTTTTGAATACTTGCCAGACCCATAAATGGCAAAGTCTGTCACAGTTCATCAGGAAGGTCTTGTTGGAATAAAATATCAGAAAAAGACTTTCATAAAAGATGTGCTGGGGCCCTAGCTGGTTTGGCTCAGTGGATAGAGCGTCGGCCTGCGGACTGAAAGGTCCTGGGTTCGATTCCGGCCAAGAGCACATGCCTGGGTTGTGGGCTCAATCCCCAGTAGGGGGCGTGCAGGAGGCAGCTGATCAGTGATTCTCATCATTGATGTTTCTATCTCTCTCTCTCTTCCTCTCTAAAATCAATACAAATATATTTTTAAAAAATGTGCTGGGGGGAAAAGAGTACATTTGCTTTAAAGGGTGTCTGACTTTAAAATATATGGTTTTAACACAATTGGTTTGTGAATCTCAACTACAGTTTAAACCAGGGGTGGGCAAACTTTTTGACTCGAGGGCCATAATGGGTTCTTAAACTGGACCGGCCGGAACAAAAGCATGGATGGAGTGTTTGTGTGAACTAATATAAATTCAAAGTAAACATCATTACATAAAAGGGTACGGTCTTTTTTTTCAATAGTTTTATTCATTTCAAAGGGCCCGGCCCGCGGGCCGTAGTTTGCCCACGGCTGGTTTAAACAAATAGGATGGCTTCAATAGTGGCTATCTCAAAATGGTTACAGATAGAAAAGGCCTGTCATATTCCAGAAATGGTTTCTGGAGGTTCAGGGCAAAAGACACTATTGACTGGACAACACTAACGGCTGCTTAGTAAAACCTCTTTCCTCTGGGCAGTGACTCCAGGCACCTTGATTTAATGATGAAAGCTTGTCCATGGATCCTTCCTCAGCAGCAATGCTATCTTAGGTTTATCTCCTTTCAGTTTTCATATCTGTAGTCAAACCATGCAACTGCCAGGTGATAAGCCACGCGCCCTAAAACTAAAGAAGACTGAATCACAGAGGGGCATAAAAACACTAATGATGTTGCCTGGCTGGAGTGGCTCAGTGGTTGAGCTGTAACCTCTGAACCAGGAGGTTCGATTCCGGTCAGGGCACATGCCCAAGTCACGGGCTTGATCCCCAGTAAGGGGCGTGTAGAAGGCAGGCGGTCAACGATTCTCATCATTGATGTAACTATCTCCCTCTCCCTCTCTGAAATCAAAAGTATGTATTTAAAAAAATAAATAAAACATTAAGGATGTGGAGGAGATTATTTTATGGGCTCTGTGGTTCTGAGATTAAACACTAGAAGATCCCCTGGTATAAGGAAGAAGACCATGAGGTAGAGGCTGAAACTACTGAACATACTGGTCAAGGTGGGCCAGCCTCTGACCACTGTTAGTGGCTGACCGATAGCACTTCATTTCCTGCTACCCTCACAGTTGAGCATTGGTCAGCAACAGAGATTTTGTTCTGCAAGGTTATTCAGGAGGCCAAGCTCCAATGTGTGCTCATACCTCTGCATCTCTTAGGGTCTTGGAATTGTCCACTGGATCCTCTGTGTCTAGAGGGAGAATGTGGAAGGATAATAAGAGCAGAGGACCCTGAAAGTTCTTTAGGGGCCAGAGCTAGGGGTGGTGCATAGCCTTACACTCACATTCCACTCAGTCATGTGATCACACCTAACCACAAGGGCGGATGGTAAATGTCGGTTAGTGAGATACTGAGGAAAGATAAATGGTATTTGGTGAATAGCTAGTAAGGCTTTGCCACACCTGAAAATGCCTGTAGGATCAGGCAGGTAACGTAGGAGTGAAGCATGTAGGCTGTTGATGCATTCTGTGGGTGAAGGGGCCTTGATACTGGATACCACATGCTTGTTTGAGGAAATGGCAGGGTGTCCATTACTCAACAGTGGCTTGTGGCTGCCACTTGGGTAAGAAGGGCCTAAATTGACTTTCCCGCTTGTTCAAAAGCAAGAAATCCAGGTTTTCATGTGAAAAATCCCATTTTAAAATAGTGCTCTGTTTCCCTCCCTCCCTTCCTCCCTCCCTCCCTCCCTCCCTTCTTTCCTTCCTTCCTCCCTTAGTCTTTTTTTTTTTTTTTACATACTAAGATGGCCAAACAAAATTCACTGGCAAGCCAGTGATAACCTCTAGCATACAGTAACAAGGCCTGGGTTGGGCACTAGGAGACCAAAGTCAAATAGCAGCCCCATCCCTTACTGCCTTTCACCAGTGTGAGCCCCTCAGTTTCTGAGCCTCCATGATCTGAGGCTGGGACATGTTTCTAAAGTAGGTGCAAAAGGCCACCGGAGCTCTGCTTACATCCAGGTTTTAGCACCTTTGCTGATGCCACACTAGTCTACCAGGTAACCCAAGGAAGAACTTGGAGTCTTCTCCTGGGATTTAAACCACAGAGGCAGACTTCCTCAGGCAAAACAAAACCAAAAACTTAGGTCCTCCTCTGTAGAGGTCATGACTGCACAGATAATTTGGGGGGATGGGGGTGACGGAGGGAAGCAAATATGTTTTCCTGGTGATTGCCTTGGAAATTCCTTCTCCAAGGAGAAGACACTCATTTCTAGAGCAATTTTAGCAGAATATGGGAATTTGTTTATCGTAATGGTTAAGAGTCAAGCAGACATGACTGGATTTCAGACTCTTTTAGCTGTAGAACCTTGATCAAGTGAGAGACTTAATCTCTCCTAACCTCAGTTTCCTCAGTTGAAACCAATAAACTTACTAAGAGGGTATCTGAGAATCCTTGCACCATGAATATGAATTACTTAGCACATAAGTGCTTTGTAAATATTAGTTGCTATTACTACTGTGAGTTGTTGCTCCTAATGAAGTCCTGTTATTTCATTTAGATGGATACTTTGGAACCTTTTGGGGATGAACTTAGTGGAATGGCCAGATGCCCCTATGATGCCAAACATGCCAACATCGCATTGTTTGCAGGTAAATGCTCTGATTTCTTCTCAATGCATTTGCTTCTGCGTGCTCTCCTGGCTGCTGCAAACCTACTCTGTGGGATTTACAGAGTCACAGTCATACTTTACTTCTCTGGTAAATACTATAATTAACAATGCCTTTTCCATTTGAAATTAGTATGGAAGTTGTACTTTTGCTTCTTAAAAGAAGTCTTTGCTATACTTACCCATGCTTTTGTGCCTTCAGAAAAGGCTAATAGTTTTGCACTGAACATAACATATTGGTTAGGGCCTGTTTGGGCTCCAATAATAGAAAACCCCACCTCAAACCACTGATATAGATTTATTATTTAGGGTAAGAGTTGGTTTGATCCAACAATTTATTAATATCATCCAGGACAAAGGTCCTTTTCATTTTTCTGCTCACTTTCATTTCCTTCTAAGAGAGACTGGCTGACCTCACAGTCATAGATGCTTGCCAAGCCCAATTAGGAAGTTTCTGGAAGCTCTCTCAGAGCAGTGAGGCTACATACCACCACCACCAGCACCCCCCCCCCCCCTGTTTCCAGCAAACACCTTCTCAGATATCATTGACCTGATTGGGTTACATGCCTATCTATGATGGAACGGTTGTGGGAGCCAAGGGGACGATGCTGGTTAGCTTAGGTTGACCCATACTCCCCATCCTTACACCTTCCTTCCATTGCAAAAGATATAAATCAGCAGGAAATAAGCCATCATTTTCAGATTGAGATTTTTATGGATGAGTGTATGTGCTTTAATTAGAAATTTGTTTAGGAATTCAGTGCCAGCTGTGTGTGTGGAGGTGGGTGTAGGGAGAAGAGTTGGCATAATAGTGATTGTTATAGCAAGCAATGAAGCAGTTAGTTATAATTTCCATTATAAAAGATAAAAACTGGCACATCCTAGCTAGATGAGGAGCTTTAGGCCTTTGATTGTGAAATAAAATTAGCTCCTTGTGCCTCACTCATCCTCAGTGTCATCCATTTGTGGTCCTAAATCTGTAGTCACAGAATGTAGAAACAGCTTGTGCCAGTTAAGGACTGTTTCCTTGGGTCCCCTGCCAAAGTTAGAGCACAGTATTACTGGAAAGCAGCATTGTAAGGGCCACGAGGTCTTGTAAACCTATGTCAGCATGGGCAGGAGCAAGCCCAGCAGAGGAGATGCTTGGGTATATTCCCAAATGTGTAACTTACTGTAGCACATTTCCGACACCTGAACCTGCATTAGTTGGTACCAAGGAGGATGTGGGCTGCAATGGAGAACGTAAATTTAATTTTAAATTAAAAAGAGGACTTATTTTAGCCTGGCATAGTAAAAGGAGAATGGGCAAAGTATTTTCTGAAGCCAACTCTCCAGGGGCTAAATAAAACAAGCCACATGAGACAATCCTATGACTGCCCCTCCCCTTCCTCAATAGGTGTTCCCTGGAATATTTGAATCCTCACACACGTTCAGCCCTTATTAACAGAAGATCCTTGCTGCAACTGAATGGTTGCCATACTATCAATTATGCCAGAATAGTGCTCTGTTTTACAAGTAAAAGTCTGGTGAAATACCCAGTGTTAAATATAAAACAAAAAGAGTAGTGGGTAGTGGTCAGAAGGAACACACACACACACACACACACACACACACACACACACACACCTTCCCCTTAACCCCCACTTCCCAGTTCTGTCTGTGTGACCTAGGGTTATGATTCTATAATTAAAGTTGTGATTTGTGTAGATATGTTTATCAACAGAAAGGTTTGTTGTCTGCAGTTCCAATCTAACCCAAACAGTCAACACTTGCTAATATATGGCTGTTAATAGTGCAGATATTAAGGCAGCTCTAAACTGAACCTGAACCACTTTCAGTTATTTGAAGTCCAAAGGCAGACATTAAGAACTTTACTTAGGTATGTTTGCATAAGCTTTTTTTTTTTTTTTAAATATATATTTTATTGATTTTTTACAGAGAGGAAGGGAGAGAGATGAGAGTTAGAAACATCGATGAGAGAGAAACATCGATCAGCTGCCTCCTGCACATCTCCTACTGGGGATGTGCCCGCAACCCAGGCACATGCCCTTGACCGGAATCAAACCTGGGACCCTTCAGTCTGCAGGCCGATGCTCTATCCACTGAGCCAAACCGGTTTCGGCTGCATAAGCTTTTTATAAACCATTATGCTTTCCCACAAGTGGGAGAGCTTAAAGAATACTATATTGTACAGAAGTGCCAACATATAATTAAAGAAGATATGCAACCCATTAGAAAAGAACCAAGGAAGTAATTTTTTAGTTTGAATATAATTATTGTCTCTGTTTCATCTATATAGATTTTTCTATTCTAGAATATCCCATTTAATTATTTGTGTGCCAAGCGTTTGCTAATCCAGGAAAAGAATAAAAATTTTTAGGGATCAATCTTTAGTCCAGTTCAGTCCCTTCTGCTTTGGATGTACTCTCAAGCCTGTCTCTAATGTAGCCATGTTGGCAGGGTTCAGTATGAACCCCGACTCGGGTAAAGGGGAGCAGTGCCTCTCAGGATCTAAGTAGCAGTTTAGTCAGCTCCTTTTTTGTTTATGAACCCCCTTTCTTAACTCCCCTCCCCTGTTCAGTCTGAGGACTCCATTACTGCTGCTGAACGGAAACTTTCAGGTGGTAACAGCCAGCTTCTGTCTTCCCCTGGGACCCCGGCTGATCCAGTCCGCCACAGCGCGGTGGCAGCAGCAGCATCCAAGGGGCCTTGGCCTGGAGAGTTCAGTCAAGGACCATCTAATCAATTGAAGCAAACAGCATTTTTCATTCACCCTGTCCCCCTGGAGCTGCTGCTGCTTAGAAATTGCCGTGCAATTTAAAAATGAAAAATGTTTCCTCTCTCATGATCCCAATTTAAAATGGTTAGGAATGTGGGCCAAGTATTTTCCCAGTGACTCTTGGATTTTTCCCAGTTGTCCTATCTAATTTGCCTGATATGGGAAAGCAATCTGGGGCATGTCTCTATTATCCCTCCATGCCCACTGTCTTGCTCCCCACCCCATTCACCTCTTTTCTCTTTCTTCTAAGATGGAAAACTATACTCGGCCACAGTGACTGACTTCCTTGCCATCGATGCAGTTATTTACCGGAGTTTTGGAGACAGACCAACCCTACGGACCGTCAAGCACGATTCAAAATGGTTGAAAGGTGAAAAAACAAAAGAATAAAGGGGCGGGGGGGCAATAGGTGTCTTGAGGGACATTTAGGTCCCAAGGGACCAGACTAGTTTCATTTCATTAGTGGCTTCCGACAGACGGAAAGGTGCAAATTGCATCTTTTGCCTCAACTGATTTATTTACCTCCCTTTTTCACTTCCCATCAGTTTCTGGAACGTTAACAGAACTACCAATGCTACTACAATAGAGCACATTACATTCATCTTTCCTGCCTCCAACTCTCATTTCAGAGTCCCACATGAAAAGAACAGGGAGCAGGGGGTTGGAGGTGCGGGGAACAGGAAAAGAGCTCTCATAACTCTGAATGAGTCAGGTTGACAGGAGATGTGTACGAAACCCTCTCTGTAATGTGGGCATTCCATTGTGGAAAATAAAAGACAGGAATATGCAGCACTCATTTAGTCTTCATTGTTGGTTGCAACCACTTCTGAAACATGTAATTTGTAGGCTCGAATGCTTTCTGAAATCACCAGCACTCACATGTGTGCAGTCATTAGAAACGGCTGGTGTTAACCAAATGTCTAATGGCCCTGTGCTTTTAATTAATAACATGTCACTGGTTGCAATTGATTAAAATTCTTTCAACTATGTGATTTGTCCCCAACTAAAGTTCCCAATTTGTTCACAGAACCATATTTCGTCCAAGCAGTGGACTATGGAGACTATATCTACTTCTTCTTCAGGGAAATAGCAGTGGAGTACAACACCATGGGAAAGGTAAGAGGGGAGGAGGTCTCCCTTTTGGATCAATATGGTTATAAATGACCTTGAAATAGGAACCATCAATCCAATGACAAGGTCATCATTTTGAGACGATACAAAGATTAGTGGAAGTGAAACACTGTGCTGCCTCCAAACCCTGGGTGCTTTAGCAAAAAAAGCAACGGAGTACAGGGGACGTCTTAAATATTTCTTTTCAAAATGTAATAGGCAGATGTTCAGTGATTTCATACTGAGTTTCAAGTGTCTTGAGATGTGGTTTCCAGGTATACTCAACAGTTTTCTCTTTTTAATGAGATGCTCCACACAGAGAGAGTAGATATACAGTATCTTTAAGCAAACTGAGGGTCCTAAATTTTATCTTTATTGAATAAAGCAAGAGGACACTTAGGGGATGTCCCTTTCAGTTATGATTGCCAGAGAGTGGATCAAGATCACTACTGGTAAGTTGGAGGGCACAAAATCAATGCCGGGTGGCTTGCACAGTTAGAGGAATTCAGGGTATGAGATTCGAGGCCCAGAGGCAGCTAGTGAGGATGCCAGAGATGGTGCATACAAAGTGCGCTTTTGTTTGAGGCAATAAAAAGCTAAGCAGTCCATATGGAAATGAGTGTATGTGGCTGGGAGCTGATCCCCTGAAGGATTTATGGCTCTGTATTAAATGCCACAGCCTTATCTTTTAAAACATGCTGTTCCAATGCTGAGGTTTTCCTTTTTTTTTTTTTTTTTTTTTTAGAAATGAGATTAATTTAAGCACCTCGTTGTTCTGTTTCTATTTTCAAAGAAAGGAAAACTCTAATAAGATTGCCTCGAAAAGTGAGTGCATTTCATTCTCCCTGTGTGTTGTCCCCTGCAGGTCGTTTTCCCACGAGTGGCCCAGGTTTGCAAGAATGACATGGGAGGGTCTCAGCGAGTCCTGGAGAAACAGTGGACATCTTTCCTTAAGGCTCGCCTCAACTGCTCAGTTCCCGGAGACTCTCACTTCTATTTCAACATACTCCAGGCAGTTACAGATGTGATTCGTATTAATGGCCGTGACGTTGTCCTGGCAACCTTTTCCACACCTTATAACAGGTAACCATGCCACGGCTGTGTGGACCTAATTGGTTCTTCCGGCTTCCTTTCCCCAAGGGCTCTCTTCTAATACACAAGATTCACAACTGATGGGAAAGTTGCCCTTCACTATTTGTGGCTAAAAAAGCACTTCACACTCAGTTTTCATCAACAAATTAACGGTCATTTATAGGAGTTATTAGATTAGGATTTTAGGGAAAGTAATTAGGTAAATTATAACAATATCTTCTAATTATAGGCCTGTGTGTATAAACACTATTCACGTGCTGTTTCTCAATCCTTCTGTAATCCTGGCAATGAATACTGTTGCCCTCTTTTTTATACTGGACAAAACAACTCAATTTTAGTACCTGGTCCAGGCAGTCAGTAGATGGAGGAGGCAGCTTCAAACTCAAAATGGTTCTTTCTCTTCTAGTCTATGTACCATTCTGTTTGACTTTTAATATTAATATCTTTTGAAGTAAAAACCCTGGAAAAATATTTAAATGCTACCGAGTGAAAGTTAGGCTCCAGATGAGTCCATCCCCACCTAAGACACCCTGGTTATTCTTATCCCATCAGAGGAGCCTGCATCCCAACCATAGCACCACTGTCGGACTCCGGAGCGCTGAATGAGGACTTAGACATTGTCAAACCTTGAAATACTGAGTGTCAACCTGTTTATTCCTATTTTGGTAGTTTTTAAGCTGAGACTTTGAGGAATTAAATAATATTCTAATAACTGTTCCTGGAGCAGTGGAAATATGTGGGGTTTAAAGAGCAGAAAGAAGACAGGCATTTAGATTTTCTGGTTCTCAGCTTTCCCAGTCCTTAGAGTCCTAGCACAGTTGTGAAAAGGGTCATCACTCTGGGCGTGGCCATACAATTTAAATGTACTGTATTCTCATTTCTATGTAGAATTTTGGATATTCTATATTATCTTCCTTTGGGAATGCACTGTTTTATTTTGGATTACACTTTTTTACAAAGACTTTTAAGAACTCAGTGAGTACCTAGATGACAGGCATGTACATGTTGAGATTGAAGGACAGCATCTAGAAAGACGTGTTTCAGAATTAGGTAGAGCCCGGATCAGAACAAGCTAAAGGATGAAATAATGTTCCTTTATTACATGGAAGTCAAGAGTTCCCCACTGAAGATGCGTGAAAATATGAAACCATACTACAGCAAGAAACACTCAGTGAGATTTAAGCAAGCTTTAACCATCTGTGGAGATTTGTAAGCCCGAGAATAGAAAAGATTCAATAATTCAGACTTCGGCTGTTTATACTTCTGAATGCATCTATCTAGATTCTAGACTGTTGAAAAAGAATACTGTCATGGTACATGGGAAAGCAGGGGCTAGCAGAATTTCAGAGTACACTTCCGGTTTGTTGGTTTAATTTTTGAGGTCATTGAGTTACTTTATGATTATAATACAGCAGTAGATTCTAGCATATTATAGATACTCCATTTAAAGTATTTTCTTTAATGGCCCCCAAGAAACATTCAAATATTGCATGCTTATGCAGTCGCAGAGACATATTTGCTCAGCAAAATCAGAGAGTGGTAAAAATGCACATACTCATTTATCTATAAATTATTGTTCTCCCTCTAGATTCATTCCTCTCCACCCCATGCTCCACTCATGCAACCTTGGTCACTGTTAGGTTTCAAGCCCTTTGGGTGCTCCTCTTTGCCCTGGGGATAAAGCTCACGCTCCTTAGAATGGTGTGCAAACCCCCTCATGGTCTGGCCCATCTCTGCCAGCAGCACGTGCTTTCTGGAACTAAGATCTGTCTCAAACATGCCATGCTTGCTCATGTCCTGTTCTCTGCCAAGTCCCCCGGTCCAACCAATGTCTGTTTGGCCGTTGTGACCCTAAGGATGCTCCAAGTCTCAGCTGGAGTCGCTTCCCATGAGATCTTGTGCATTCCTCTTTAAATACTGTTCTTAGCAAGTTGTCCTGCATGAATTAGTATCATCATTGTTGTTGTTATTTGCCTCCACACTGAACTGTGAGTCAACTGAGAGCAGTACTCTCTGTTATTTATTAAGCATTTACTGCCTGAGATTAGGGATTCCATAATTATAGGTTGAATGAACAGCAGGTAGAAAGAAAGGAATGAAGAAAAGATGAAAGGAAGGAGGAGGAAGTAAAGTAGGGAAGGAAGAAGAAAGTAATTCTAAGCTTGGGAAGATTATAAAATCCCAGGGTTATTACAAGGTTCCTCATAAAATAATTCAATATTTATCCTATTTTTCTTAATATTTAAAGTAAATATGTATAACTGTTACTTTTTGGAAAGGGAGATAAGAAGAATCTTACAAAATTAAGTAATGCCAGGGTTCTAAAATTTTAAAACAAATGGGGATCACTGCCTTGCATACTCAATTCTCTATTTCTTGCTTTACTAGTAATTCTTCAATAACTGTGTTATGAAATTAAAGATAGCATAAAGTTTTCCTGATCATTATGAGGTGATTTCCATATCCTTCCTACATTTGCAAAATCCAGACCAGTCACTCTCTCTGTGCTGAACGATGTTCCCATACAGCACAGCCTTGTCCTGATGCTGCTGTGCGCTGGCCCACAACCTCAGTGCCTGATTAACACACTGGCCAGCTGGTGCCTGCAATTTATTTGATCAAAACCAAGGAATAATCATAGTCAATAACAAACATGGGTTCAAACACTATACCCAGATGAATGAATTATTCATGCCTCTCACCACTGATGGGGAAAAAAAAAATCCCAAAGTCCTTCCAGGAGTGCTAGGCCAGAATGTAATTATAGGTAGAGATTACTGCCATTATTATTACTTAGCACTTAATAGAGCACTTTATTTGCAAAGTGTTGATGCTTTAGAGACTTATATTGTTCCGTCCTATGCAAATAAACGGGAGTAAAAACTGGAATGTACACCAACTAACAAAATATTCCCGAGTTCCGCACACAGACATTCCCACTGCCGCAGTCCTTAGCTTGAGGTACCAAATCCAAAGAAGCAATGTTTGGACAGTGGAGGCACTTTTACTTTAAATTTTTACTAATATTGGAGATGTAGAATATTTTCTAAAATTTTTACTGGGGGAGGGGGTTATTGACTAAGAATTAACATCAGCGAATTCATGAAACTTCTTAATCACCAGTTTGACCACTCTTCCTTTCTAAACAAAAGCAGTCCCAGAAGACATGAAGAGGTTTTTTTCTCTTTATGAGTTGCTTTAATTAGCCCTTTATTTAAGGCCACTGATGAAAATTTGATTCCCAGGAACATTCGCTTTATGCACTAGGATACCTTACATTTATTGTGTTCAGTATATGAACTTTACATTTCAATTGCCTGTAATAGGAAAGTTTCTTTGGAGTATGTTTTCCAAGCTGCCTGTGCACCTGGGCATGAGTAACACTGTGTGTGAAATGTCATGTTGCAGCATCCCTGGGTCTGCAGTTTGTGCCTATGACATGCTTGACATTGCCAATGTTTTTACTGGGAGATTCAAAGAACAGAAGTCTCCGGATTCCACTTGGACACCAGTTCCTGATGAACGAGTGCCTAAGCCCAGGTACATACAAAATATGCTATTTTGTTGTTGTTAATCCTAACCCAAGGATGTTTTTACCAATGATTTTTAGAGAGGGTGAAATGGAGGGGGTTGGGGGGGAGAGAAACATTGATGTGAGAGAGATTCATGGACTGGTTGCCTCCCAGGGCTGTCCCTACCGGGGCTGTGGACCAAACCTGCAACCCAAGTATGTGCCTTTGACCAGGGATCAAACCCAAGACCCCCTCTAACCTCTGAACACACCAACCAGGGCTATATGCTATATTGAAGTTCTAGAAATGGTACAGCTTGCTCCTCTGATAATGAATTGTACCAGTGTCTTCCATGCCCATGCCAGCCATACAGATAAGATGCTGGAACAACAGCAAGGCCTATGAGGTCATTCACCTTCATCCACTTAAGCAAAATTCAGGGTTACTTATATTATCTTTAAAACAATGGCTCTAGTCTTTTGTTTAATCTCTATATCTGTGGTTTATCCATGTAATCCTAGGACGAATAGATCCATTTCGTCCAGCTAGCTCCAATGTCTGTAGTCAAGGAAACTGGGGCCCAGGGGGGTATAAAGTGATTGTGTATGTTCACATAGCTGGATAGATTGTTTTATTGTCCTTCCCTGCTTCCCTTCAATTTTACAGAAACTCTTGTCTTTAAATCCTAATAAAATGTGGAACAGAAATGGTATGTGTTCCCTGGATTTTTTGACCAGGCTGGATCAGAGCTGAGTCAAGACTCAGGCCAAGGGCAAGAAGAGAGCACAGGTGCAGTGGACCTTAACATGTCTCTGGTCTGCCAGGTTCCGGTGTATTTTGGGTCCATAAGCAACCCAAATTCCCCTCTCCCCAAAGTGTGCCCCAGAATTGCCTTCATTGGGAACCTACTGTCCAGAGACCTCTTGGTCCTCTGTAGTCTCCTTCAATTCCTCACACTAAAGCAGTGAATTCATCCTTTTTAACTGGGATGGGAGAAAACTGTCCCGCAACCCTGTGCCTGCTCTCTCTGTGGTACCCACTGGATACCTTCATTACAGCATTTGCAAGTTACATGGAAACATCCTTGTGTGCCCAGCTTCCTCCACTGAATTTGTGAGCCTCTGGAAGGAAGAAGCCCAATGTCTTTTAAGTTTTTTGGTTTCCAACCATCTCCTCCCACCTCAAGTCCCCCACAGAAAATACCTAGCCCAAGCCATTTAATGGAACTAATTTAGATAATGTGAACCCTGTACCCAGGAGAGAAAGCCTCATAGTTCTGTCTTGTCTGAATTGTCTGGCATGTGCATACCCTGTTACTTATGGAGAGCAGACGGGGTGCAAAAAGCACACTCTGGCAAAACCTCAGATAGGCCTTCTAAGTCGGTGTCTGGAACGGTTGGCTACTTTCTAGGTAAGCAGGAAGGGGAATTCAGCCTGAGGGATCAGGTTTCAGGGAGAACATACTTAATGTGTTCTCCTTGGTGTGTAAGCCATGACCAGGAAACATACTGTAAGTGATTTGCCAGTTCCAGATTTGGCAGTGTATTTACCCTCATCATTCCGCATGCTTGCCTCGCCCCTCTTGCAGATATGGGGATACGCCCACAGGGCTGGCTGGGTCAGCGCCATGACACAGTGCACGCATGGGCCAGACTATGCCATTGCTGTCAGAGTCCAGTTTCCTCTCCTGCACCAGCAGGCAAACAGCTGTGTGGATAGGCCTGGTGTCAGTGTTTCCCTAATCTGACTTTGCTGAGATGTCCCTTGACTCGAGAAGCCATAGCATTTCTTATAGAAAAAAGTTTTCACGTCATAATGCCATGACCTTTCAGGAGAGAAGCTTCAGTGTCATTGGCTTTTCATACCTGCCCAAATCAAACAAAAACAAAAACATCCGTAAAAAACAAAATACAGATGTTCTCTGACTCCCAGTGGGAGATGGTTACATGGAGTGTTGCTGGTACATATGCTGGCTCGTGGCTTTTGAGTGCCTTTGTTTTCTACATTTGTGGAAAAGTCAGCTTAATTCTCTCCTTTTGTAGAGCAAATGCCTCGAGAACTGCCAGCAGGGTTTTAGGGTCGATAGAGCAGCCCTGGGACATGTGCACACCACACACTCCCCAACTTGTTTCGAGCTCCATCACTGTTGATGGAATTTGTTTGTTCTGCTGGGGGGAAGCCAAGCTGCCCCCAGCCAAGGTTGAACTGCCCTGGCGGAGGCTCCTCTAAGGCATGCGAGGCGGCCTGGAGGAAATCTAAGCACATTTATTTGGTGGCATCTGCATTGTTCAACTTCCTCCTCTCAGCCTCTGGTACATTTTCCCTCATGCCAGATGCTTAGAGAAGCAGTTCATTCAAAGAATTAGCCATAAGGCATGAAACACCCTCCCTCCCTTTCTTTTTAGGCCGGGTTGCTGTGCTGGCTCATCCTCCTTAGAAAAATACGCAACCTCTAATGACTTTCCTGATGATACCCTGAACTTCATCAAAACGCACCCACTCATGGATGAGGCCGTGCCTTCTGTCATCAACAGGCCGTGGTTCCTGAGGACGATGGTCAGGTGGGTGCCAAGCACACCGAGTCCTACAGGCATCTTCCCTACTCCATCTCATGCTCATATCAGTGGATCATGTTTTGAAACGGCACAGACATCTTCTGTAATCACATGCATTGGTTCCACTATGAAATGCTGGCGAGTGGGGTGGATGCCACCAAACCCTGCACCCACATTCCCAGTGAGAAGAGTTTGGGTATTTGGGGGCTAACTGGCACATGACAGCAATCAGAGGAAACAAAAGTATCTCCTTCCCAGGTAGCCCTTTAGTCCAGACTGTGCAAAAGTGGAGGAGCAGTGAAGTAGAGTCAGTCGATGATGTGGATACCTGTTTGGTTGGATATGGTTGCAAAACAAGCTGCAGATTCCATCCAAGCATTGTGCCTTGGGTGTTAACTTTCCAAGTGGAGCATGAACAAAAGGAGGATTTGCACAAGTATACCAGCATGGAGGTTCATACTTTAGCATTTGTTATCTGAAGTGGTGGCCAACCGAGATGGGATAGCTGATGTGAAATCTGTGAAAGCATTAAGTACTCCTCCTTGTATGTATTTAGAGCTTATTTCCAAACAATTCAACAGGCTTTCCTGAGTACCATCCAGTCTGGGCAATCATCAAACACACAGTTAATTAAATTTACCACCATTTTTAAACTGTGCCTTTATTGAAATATATTAAGGTATTATAATGGCTCTTGTCCATATGATGGAAACAATATAACTTGCAAGAAGGTCCATGTTTTCTGGAACCTGCCATGGTGCTTAGGACAAATGGGTGTCTATGGAGTATTGAATGGCTGAGAAAAAGAGGATGCCCACCCAATAGGACTTATCCTAGATATGTGACAAGGCTGATGCCCTTCACCTTTGCTCTAAATGTATCTTGCTTGGCTGGCACATCCTTCGGAGCTCTCAGTCCTCCTACATACAATTGAAAATCTTTCTAATCTGGCATTTTGTTGATAAGGCTTTACATCGCAGAAGAATGGTATAAAAAAATGGTAGCCATTGCTTTTCTTTCCAATGTTAAATGAAATGTCAAATGAGTTCCCTTATTCCTCCCCTCTTCGGAGGAGACATGAGCCTTTCCTTGTTGCTCAGGGCAGAGATAATTGTGGAATGGTTTCAGATGGAATGGTTATGGCTGGCTATTTATTATGTAACGTGGCCTCCACACCCCATACCTCTGTTCTCCCCTTGGAGCCATACTAATGCTCTGCATATGGAAGTAACGTACCAGAACAGCTTGAGAGCATTATTTACATGCATATATTTCTCTGGAGGTTATTGCTAGAAAGCTCTGTCACAATTCAATTGTATAAAGTGGGAAGGGGGACACTTGAATGACAGACCAACAGAGAGATGAAGAATGCAATCTTGTCGTTTCAGATACCGCCTCACCAAAATTGCAGTAGACACCGCGGCTGGGCCCTATCAGAATCACACTGTGGTTTTCCTGGGATCAGAGAAGGGACTCATCTTGAAGTTCTTGGCCAGAATAGGAAACAGTGGTTTTCTAAATGACAGCCTTTTCCTGGAGGAGATGAGCGTTTACAATCCTGAAAAGTATGTAGAATATTTGGTCCTTTCTCAGTAATTACTTATGTTATTCAGAGAAAGTCAAGGCAGACATAGGTTTTATACATTTTTAGGTGTGGCTTTTAACATTATTTTTGAAAATCTTTTAATACATAAAAGGCATTATTTTCTCCTTGCCAATAATGTATGTGTTTATATAGAAACACATATAGATGTGTGTGTGTGTGTGTGTGTGTGTGTGTGTGTGTATGTACAAGGATCTATTTCACCTTTACTTAGATCAGATTAAGAGATCACTTTGTAGGCTGGGAGGTGGGTATGAGGATGGTGGCAAGAAAAAGAGAACTGACCCGAGGGAAGCTTTTAATGATATTATCCTGCCTTATACAATTAGGTGTAGCTATGATGGAGTAGAAGACAAGAGGATTATGGGATTGCAACTGGACAAAGCAAGCAACTCTCTGTACGTTGCATTCTCCACCTGTGTGATAAAGGTTCCCCTTGGTCGGTGTGAACGACATGGGAAGTGTAAAAAGTATGTACTTTGCCTCATTGCCTATTAGGAAATGCTTAGAAAGGAGGCCTAGGTAGCTCACGGTCATCCTCTTCCTGCAGGACCTGTATCGCCTCCAGAGACCCGTACTGCGGGTGGGTGAAAGAAGGAGGTTCCTGTGCCTATCTGTTGCCCGGCAGCAGGTAAGGCGCCCCAGGTGTGGGAGAGTATAAGGTGTATCCATTCTATATGTATTAGTTAACTGTGCTTGCACATACCACCAGCACTCAGCCTTCTGTGCACAGCCTCATCAATGGGACGGCCAGCCATTCTCCTTCCTTTTCCCATTTCACAGAACACCCCGATATCACAGGTGGCAGATTTCCAATTGATTAATCATGCATCCTCAGGCTGATTGAAAACACAAAGAGAAGAAAGGCAGTGGGCTTCTAAGTGTTCCCTGGAGAGAGGGAAAGGGATGTGCATGCCTTAATCATCACAATTCGAGAACAGCAGAGAAAAGGAGCAGTTGGGTAACAATTAGATTAGTGATGCAGTTTGCCCAGCCATCGCAAAACGGGCTCCTCTAATTGACCATACAAGGCTGGGAAGAAATTGCAGAGCATTTGTTAAGCGATGCGTTTGTACTGCAAGCATGTTGTATACATCCAATAAATCTTCTCCTGCGCTGAAGAACAGTTGACCCTATTACTCATTAGGTAGTCAATTCTTGGCAGTTCTCCAGGAGATCAGCTCGATCGGGGCCGTCTAACATGCCTGTGATTTCGGTGATTAAAATTGTGACCCGGTCTTTAAATGCTCAGCTGGCATTCGTTAAAAGGTTTCTTTTATGTGTTTACTTCATTGGATGTGAAATCCAAAATAACATTGGAAAAACATCCAATGCATGTCCTTGACAGGTTATGGCAACTCAAGAGAGGTGCCATATGGCGGCACAGTTCTTACTTAGCCAATTCCTTCAACTTCCCCAGATCCAAAGGGGGAACAGAAGGGCTCCCATCACTGACTCTCCTCTCCCATTTTAGAACAGCTAGACAAATAGGCAGAAGGCCACCTCATGACTACCACCTGCATCATATGAGGGAAAGTATTCCCATAAACAGGGCAAATGATAACGAAGTCTGACCTGGATATTTGACTAATATAAAGGGTTGACTTCTATATTTTATTATATCATCTTTACAAAAAGCAATATAGACATGCTACAGTGGTAGCACTTTATATCTTTTCCTGGGACTCTTGAAGTAAAGGAGAAAGGATCACAGAGCACAGTGAAAAAAGCTAAGGCAAGATCTTTCTATATTCAAGGCATAACCAGAAGTATACTCCTGAGGATGGTAGGAGTGAAGACAATACCTGAATGGTCTCAGCAAAATGCACCTCCAAGCCCTCTCTTGTTGGGCCCACTTAGCCACTGGCCATTTGTATCTTTTAACACTTTGTTATATAAGTTATTGCTAAGCAAAGAAATAGATAAAACTCTAGCAAGGCAAGGGTCAAGGTGAAAGAGAAAGTAGAGGGGGAAAGACTTATTTTTAACTAAAGGCCCAGTGCACAAATTCGTGCACATTGAAAAGAAATTAATTAGAAGAAATATTTTAGAGGCCGGGGAGGAACTGTGGGAGGTTGGCTCCAGGGCATGTCCAGTCCGTCTCGTCCAATCCCAATCAGCCGGACCCCAGCAGCAAGCTAACCTACTGGTCAGAGTGTCTGCCCACTGGTGGTCAGTGCGTGTCATAGCGACTGGTCAAATGGTCGATTGACAGGTCGGACTCTTAGCATATTAGGTTTTTATAGAGAGAGATTTATAGATTTCTATATTGCTCAGAACAGTGTATTTTAACATTTAAATGTTTAAGACATGCTCAGGGAATCAGAGTAAAAGACAGGTATAAGTAATGCACACACTAATTACCTCCTGAATAATATCTGAATTAACTGCGTAAGCCAGGCCTTCTCTTTTGGATATTCTTGTACATAAAACTCATTTCTGTAAATTTCAAAGATATAATTTTCAAGCTGTTATCTACATATTGTTTGCACCTGTCACTCAATTTATCAAACTGTGTTTGTTGCTTTAGTGAAACCCGAGTAATGACTCACATGATTGAATTTGTTTTTCTCCCCCCTCTTTTTCTGAAAGACTAACTTTTGAACAGGACATAGAGCGTGGCAATACAGATGGTCTTGGAGACTGTCACAGTAAGTGAAGCTTTTATCTGTGTTTATCTTTGGGCAGAGAAGTTTTTCTGGAATGGCCTGGAAACATTACCCTGCATGTGGAACTGAGTACAGCTGGCACCAAAATATGCATAAATAACAGAAACCATCTTCTAAATATCAAATAAAGAAAATAGTGTGTTTCAGAGCCAATGTTGTTGTCGATGCTGTTGCTATAAGTGCTGGCACCGAGTGCATTATCACAATAGTGAGGAACAGATTCACTTGAGAAGATACTAATTATGCAGGGCAGCAAGTTATGTCTGCATTTTCATTTTTCTGAAAGCCGGGTTTTGTTGTTTTTTAAAATGTGCTATTTAGGCTGTAATTTTTAGCCAAATATGATAAAAAGGTTGGACATTTTACTCTAGCTTTTTATTTGAATGGACCTGTTTTATTCTTCTTCAACATAGGAACTAACAAAAGTAATTATAATTTTTAAATTGGATTTTTGTCTGTTATCATTTGCAGTAGAAAAAGTTTCAGATATAACCCACTAAGTACAAGGTGACTCAAAATAACCTTTTCATAGAAATTAAACTGTGCGAATCTGAGTTCATTTCAAAAGTTATTAAATGGTAACATTTTAGTTAGAACTTGATGTAAAGGATCCTGGTTCTCCTATTTCTGATTAATATCAAAACTCTCCTGAAAATGCTAAGGTGTCATTCAACTTTCTTATCTTTTATAGAAATCAGATATAATCAAATAAAGAGACATAGCAGCCTTATCTCCAAATTTTTCGCATATATTTTTTTTGTTTGCAAATATGATATATTGGCAAAAGCTTATTATGTCTTCACACACAAAACTTAATGAGTTAAGAAATCAGCATAGGAGACAGTGTCATTGCCAAAAGATCTACGTTACTTTTGTGCAGTGAAACAATTTGATCCATGGATGTTAGTCACATTGATGCCTTAAGGCGCCATTTTCAGGAAACAGGTTTTGGTTTCTATGTGAACTGAATTAGCTGACTTTAGTGAATAATTTTCATCATAGTTTTATGATCTGGTGGTGTGGACATCTATAGAAAATCGGGGTGTCAATTTGGATTTCATAGGTAAATCTATGAAAAATGTGAAAATGGTTGTTAATATATCCACCAAGTGTCCACGGCACCAGTGGGCTCACACCACACCTGTATTCTTGGCAGAAAAGCTGAAGGAAGCCTCAGTATTGAGCACAGGGGAGACCCTCTCCCCTAGCCCGTGACTTACTCTTTAACCTCAGCAATCAAGCCTCTGTTTTCTTGTACTCCGCACCCTTGAACCTCATTCCCGCTGAGGCTCTTAGAGGCCTGCTCGGGCAGGAGGTAGGGCTGAGCGGACCCTCGGCTGCCTATCCGAGTGCCTTCTCAGCTCCCTGTGCTCTGCTGGAGCGTGACCTACTTCTTGGGACTTACCTCTTCACAGACAGGCATTCAGAGGCGTTAGGCCCTTGGTGCACAATGGCTCTGCATCAGGATTTTAAGGGGAGATGAGAAAATCATACAGAGCCAGGGCCAGAGGCTGAGGAGCAGGCTGAGTGAACCAGTGTTCTGACCCAGACACAGCACGCACACACAGGTGCATGCTGCTGCGGTGTGCATGTAATTTCTTTCATTTTTGTTTTTAATTACCTAAGTAAACCCCCTGCTGAGTTCAGAACATTGTGATACTGGACAGTTCCTCACAGCCCGGCTGTGAGGATGAAATGAGAGAGTGTAAAAAAAGGATACTTTATAAGTGTGGGTCCATATGTCACTTATTTTATCCACATATATGGTAGGGCTTAAGTTCTCTGAAACACATATAATCACAGTTACCATTTCTTTACTAACTCTTGCTTTCTCTGCCTCTTGGCAACAAAAGCAGTGATTCTGAGGAAACTCACTTGGGGAAGAGATGGGGGTGTGAAATTGGACCGAATATAAAGCGTCTTATGTTACAAGCTAGAATTGAAATGCACTTACTTCGTGTTGGGTATCACATGTTCTTTTAGTCCTGTGTTAGTTCATTCCCGCTTACTATGTAAGTCACACTAAGCAGTGTTAGACATAAGTAACCTCTCCTCCCTTTTGTCTTTCAGATTCCTTCGTGGCACTGAATGGTAAGGATGACATTACTCGTGATTAATTATCGATGAAACTCTACTTAGGAAAACCTGCTTCACTAATCCTCTTCAGTATTCTCAAACTTTAGGTTTCTCTCTAAATTAATTTTTTTGTCCTCATTATTTTTTTATAGACATTTCAACTCCTCTACCAGATCATGAAATGTCTTACAACACAGTATATGGTCAGTTGATGGATTTCTTTTTTTTTTTTTTAATTCTTCAAGCCACTCATCCTGTGGTAGTTTATAGTTTTCATCCCTAAACACCATGGACCAGATTCTTTATTACTTCAGGGCCCCAATTCACTAAAATTATTTATAGATTTCATGATGCTTCAAAAATCACTCTGCCTCTATTTGATGTATGAGACTTGAGTCCTACAGTTTAATCCATATAGCATGAAATATGCCAACCTTAGGGAATTTGGTGAATATATTTAATGAGTTCTTGAAGGAGAAAAAATTGCTTTTGGACATAAGTATATCCAAGATAAAAGAATAGTGCCTACAACTACACGGCCATAACTCTTCAACTGATAGAGAGTAACATTCCCAAAATGCTGACTCTCAGGACCATACCTTCTTCTGGGGAAAATCTATACAGAGTGAACATACCAGCTTCTTACTAGGCAAAACTTTCCAATAGAGCATGAAATTGGCCATCTAAATTTAAGTTCACAAAGAGTGCAACTATTTAGACATATTTTCATCAAGATTTCCTTAGAATGTGTACAAGGAAGAGTGACACCATGTAAATGATGTGCACACAGGGCTTATCCCATTATTCCTGCTCTGAAATGCAGATGCTACATTAAACAAAGCTATTAAATCCATAAACAGCTTATTCTGAGTTCTTTATAAGAAAAGTTTAAATGTAGTTGAAACATTCCATTTCTGTTTCTCAAAGTAACACCAAATATTTATTAGGGTAAACTATTCATGTGTTTTTTAAATATAAAATGAAAAATATGTGTGATGGCAAACTTAAGCTTATGCATTACTAGAGGCCCAGTGCACGAAATTCATGCACAGGTAGGCTCCCTAGCAGCTGCGGGCTGCGGGCTTCGGGCTGCCAGCTGCCGGCCGGGGCCTCCCTTCTCCTGGCTGCCTGCCACCACTGCCGCCAGTCAGGGTGTGGCTGGCCCGAGGGAGGGGCCGGCGGTTGGCCAGCCAGTCCCACCCCCTGGTCGAACTCCCGGTTGAACTGCCAGTCGAGGGGACAATTTGCATATTAGGCTTTTATTATATAGGATAATGGGTTTCATTGATACACAAATTTTATAGATTTTGTGTTTAAGAACAGTAACAGTTCTAGGACAGTCTTTAAATGTAGAGGTAAATAAGAAATGAAGGGGGAAAGTAAAAAAAAGAAAGCAAGGTGGATTTCAGATTCAAAGAAATAGTTCAGGATGGCTACAAATGTTTCTAATAGCTCTATGTGAACTCTCACTCCCTGTGAGTATTAGTATAAATAAAAAGCCTCTTTGAAAGTCCTAAAGACTATCTTATAAACTGGAGCTGTGCAGCTGGTTTCTCCTAACTGTCCCCCACATGAAGTGAGGTAGTGTGAAGAGGAGCCCACAAAATTCATCCAACCTTTAACATTCTCTCCTCTGTGATTCCAACCAACACATTAAACACCAACTACTGGAAAAAAATGTCTCAGGAGGCACATGTCCTCTCACTTAGCCTGTCCTTCAGAAAGAGAACCTACTTAGCTTCTGCTCTTTCTCAATATCATACTTTGAAATCACTTCTGATAACTGAATAATCTTTATCAGAAATTGAGAAATTCAGGTCTTGATTCTCCCTAGCATTCATCAATTTGTACCATTTTAACTCCCAGGTAATTTCTCATATCGATAGAACAATTAAACTATGGGATCCTCTTATGAACAGAAATAATCTATGTATCTCTTTTTCCTTTTCAAAAGGAAAGGAACTTATTAATATCTCCGTATTAATACTTTTAAAGGACAATGCCTCTTCCCCCTCAGCTCTTGACCAGTGGTTTCTGTGATGAAACTAAAGAGTTGGAATACTGTATTCCTTTAAATGAATGATCCTGTCCATTTCAGGCTAAATCTATCCAGGATGGAGTGGTTAGATGATTAACTGACCATCAAAATGAGGCTGCTCCAGACAGTACTTAGAAAAATACAGGAGACTTTCTTTTCACAAACTATTGAAGATATGCTTATTTAGGAATTAATAAACATAGAACAGATGTAATTCATTCATTCAGCAAATAGTTGTTGAGTGCCTAGTATGTGCCAGGCACTGCACTAGGTGTTATATTGGTATCATCAAAGGAAATACCAAATTGCTATTTTTAAGAGCAAGGATGTAGATTAGGAAGCCAACCTCACAGTCCAAAGTGTACGCACTGCTTCCCACTGTGTCCTTTGAATGTTTCCATAAAAAGTTCATTGGCTGAGTGCAGGCTCATAGAGTGAACAACAAAACCACAACTGCCTAAAAAAAGGATCATTGCAATAAACCATGCACTCTCTGCTTGGCAAAAGATCTGTGCAACATCAGTTTCATAACCAAGAAACCCTTTTTAGTGAATTGGACCCTGATTCTTTTCCTTCTCTCTTGTATTGATATAGTATCTCTTTTTTGTGTCTAATTAGCTATAATCATTGTTAATAGGTTAGAGTAGTTTGAAGGGTCTCTAACCTCTGGAATCACAAAGATTTGTAGATATAGAGAAACGGTATGATGCATATTAAAGTTAACTTTTAATATCTATCTCTTTGTATATTATAAGAATACATCATAAGCTCCATTAGTTAAAACATGGCCTCCCTAATTGGATTAGCAAGACAAAATTATAGATTTGAACTCTATTGACATGTAATACTATATCCACAAATGATTGCCTATTTTTTGTAGCATTATTTTGGTTACATGGTCTCTTAGGGAATGCATAAACTAATATACTCTGTAGAATCAAATTCTCAGAAAAAATAAAGTGATTTTCTTTCAATATTTTTTTAAGCTTGGAGAGGTAATAATAATATGCCTCTTTGATTTCAAACTAAGGACTGCTGCTTAATGGTCCTTTTCCATGGTGCTTCTAAAATTTTTAAGAATCAGGTATTACTTTCTGTGACTACTTGATTCACCAGTGACACATGTTGCCTGTCCTCAAGTATAAGTTTAAAAGATTACAAACCTCATGCTGCTCTATTTTTTTTTTTCATTTGAGTACATCAGATGCATGGTTTCTCTAGATTTACATACTGAAAATGGAGATGTGGTGGGTATTAGACTAACACTTCAGTGATAGGAAGGAGCTGATTTCTCACATTTGTGTAAAACATTTCCCTACCTAACTGCCATCTGGTCCCCATTAATATCCTCTCATAGCCATAGCTTTCCATTACCAATGAGTTTTCCACGTAGTTGCAGCATATGGTCCTAGAAATCTTTCTACAGAGAATGTGTCCCTTAGGCATATATTTCCCCTAGATTACCGTATTAAGAAATGTTCTCCCTTAACCATACTTATGGTATTATCATAAAATTGCCCCTTGGACACAGTTACATTGAAAGTGCTTAAAATGCATATCAATTCAGGTAAAAAGAAATTTTTTGCTACTTGGAGGAGAGGCTTTTTCGACCCTTCAATTCACACACACACACACACACACACACACACACACACACCTCTTTTAACTGCCTACAAAGCTATTTCTAATTGTTTGCTTATGCTGGGTGCTAAATTCTTTCTTAGGTTAACAATATATTTCATTAGAGCTGTGTTGAATTGAAGGGTCGAAAATTTTAGAGCTCAATATAAAAGCCAGAGGAAGCAAAAGCAATTCTGTATTTCAAATTCCAGGTGATTTTCCTACCCTTGTTCTCTTGTCAGTGTCATGAGATGAGGTGTGACACCCCGAAATGTGAAAACAAAAAGTCTGGATCCAAGCCTTCTTGAGTTTTAAAGGAACGTGTTTCTAGCAGTTGGTTATGAATCAGACTATGTGTAACAAAGTGGATGTTTGAAGCTGTGTGGGAGCCAAACAAGTTCTACACAGAGAGCGGCCTCTTAAATGTTACCAAAGCTTTGCATAGCATCTAAGTGTGGTGCTTTCATAGAAATCATTATAGCTTAGACAAGCCACTTGGCTGACTTGCTTTTCCTGGCTCTTTTACATATATATTCTGCAACTGGCAGTATTACGGTCGCCTGGGAATCCAACTTCCAATAATAATTGTAAAAAGGAAGAATGTAATGCATTGATCATTACAGCCTTTCTTTCTGGTGGCCAGTATTTTATTTATCACATGCGTGGTGATGACAGCCCAAGGTTGAGACCACCTGGGATTCTGTCCTGCTTTTTACCAAAGGCACCAATTACACATTCACAGTAGTTGCCCCTATGTCTTCCTAAAAATTACTCAAGAAGTTGCTACAGGTAAAATTACTGAATACCCAAAGACTACTTAAAAATCCCAGATAAGTCATACTTTATTTCTACTAGGAAAAAAAAAGGTAAGGGGCTTCTTTAAATCATTGCACCAGTTTAGATCAAAGCAGTTCATAGGATCTGCATTTAACCTTGTGGAATGATGGAAGGAAAGCTTAGGCATGTATTCACAGGAAATGTCCAGTGTCTGCCATAATTCCCAACCCAGCCATTCTTCTAACATCTATCACGGGCTACTCTGGATCTCAAAAAGCTATTTCTTTCCAATCGGAACATAATTAGTCGGTGTGGCACAAAAACAACCTCTCACAATTGTGACTCATAAAACCATGAAGCTAGCATTGTTGGAATAAGACACAGAAGACAAAGCCATAGCAACATGGAGCATTTGAGGGGAAGGGAGGTGGGGGCAGATCCTTTTAGAAAGCAACCACTTCTTCCAGAAAGAGGAGTGCCTGCAAAGTTGAGTTGCAGCTGAAACGTAGATGCACCCTCGATGAAGAAGGCTCAGGACCACTGAGCTGTTTGTGATGGGGGAGAGGCTGATGCACTACCATAAACCTCCCCCATCAGTCACAAAGAGTGTCCCCAGAGTGGACACCTTCTGCCTTTCCTTGCTGCTATGGGAATACCAAACAAGGGCACTAGTAACTCCTGAGCACCTACAATGTGTCAAACACTCCTAGAGATTTTCACCATTATGTCGCTTTATCCTCCCAACACTGTGAGGTTAAATGGCATCATTTTGTGCACAAGGAAAACCAAGGCCCAGAGAGGTTAAGTGATTTCCCAAGGCTCACTCAGCAAGAAGCAGAGATGGGATCTTACCCTTTATCCTCTAAGTTCAAAGGGTCTTCTGATGAATCCCACCCCCATGTTTATTATGTGCAGGGCAATCTCCTTCCAGTCTTACAGCCAGCTTGGGAGTCCAATCTCCTGGCCTCTGAGCTAAGGGGATGGGGGTGTCTCGGGTGATGCTTTCCCTAACTGTATTTGTGATGAAAACAGGGCACTCCAGTTCCCTCTTGCCCAGCACCACCACGTCAGATTCGACGGCTCGAGAGGGGTATGAGTCTAGGGGAGGAATGCTGGACTGGAAAGATCTGCTCCATTCACCCGGCAGCACAGACCCTATGGGGGCAGTGTCTTCCCATAATCACCAAGACAAGAAGGGTAAGGCCTTGGAATTGCCTCTTCCTCTGGGGGGAGAGGGAGGGAACGTAGGGAGAACTCTGTAACTGCTTCCAGCAGAATCATAGCAAGATGTAAGAAACATCCAACACGCTATGATTGAAAGCATCTCAAAAAAGACTGCAACCCAATCCTCTTTGCTAAGCTTGATCCTAAATTATTGCCCACGCAAGGAGAAACCACACAAAACAAATAACACAGACTCTAAGCTTCCTCCACCCAAATGAGGTGTGGCTTGGCCCAGCACAGATGCTGGCTCCTGAGCTCCCTCTCCTCCCCTCTCCTGTAATCTGTGGGTCCTCTCTTCCCACCACATTGGAGTGAATGCAGGGAGGGCTTTGGCAAGTGCATGCAAGCAAAGTAAAAGCCCGCTTAATCAGCGAATGGAGAAATAGCAGGGCATGGTCTTTCCTGGCTGGTAGCATCTCTCACTCTTGCCTGGTACTGCTTTTGCATAGAGCCAGGGTCCTGAGACATACTCTCATTGCCTCTAGGACAACAGCTAAAACAAAAATATGTTATTGAACCAAGCAGAATTGCTATGCATGGAAAACGGGAAGGAAGCTGCCCTAAATGAAAGGGACTCTACTGTGAACTGTGCTAAATTCTCCCTGGCTTTCTTTGCTCAACTAGAGACATAAAATGTCATTTTTTTTTTCTTGCCATTTGCTGCTCTGGTAACACAGCCTACTTTAGTTGCAGCTGCAACCAAAGAGGCCTTTACTTGTCCAAAAACACCAGTCTTGTAAATCAGAGACTGAAAAGCCCGGTTATGTTGCGAGCTGTTTCCCCCCCATTCAGAATTGTTGACTCCTATATGTTTTCAAGAGTCTCACCCAAGCAGGGGTTGGAGTCTCGAGGGCAGACCAGCCGCAGTGAGGGCAGTCCCCATCATGTCCTCCCTCGGGGTTTTCTGTGTACCTATTCCCGTGCACTTGGAAAGGAGGTTTCCCAGGCAGACTTGCACGCGAAATTTCCATCCTTTTTGCATCTCATCTGCTGAGAGTGCCCTGCATGCTGCTTCTCTACATGCCAAGCCAACCTGTGAAGATGTAGCCCTTTTAACTTGTTAACTTGCCCTTAATCAATTTTATTCTTCTTCTGTAACTTCTTATTGCTGTTCCCTGCCCCAAATCTTTTTTAAGTGGCTTTTGTCTCAGCGGCCTCTTTAAGTTGGAGGGATCCTTGCCCTTCCCCTTCCAAGAAAGCACCAGGCTGATCCGTGAAGGGCCAGACTATCACACAGGCCACAAGCCCCAGCATGTGCCATGATTTGTTATGTGTGGCTCCAGACCGCAGATGTATTCGTCTTGGCTGGGTTCTCAAGAAGAGACAACTCAGAAAAAAAACACTTTGTGTTTGCCCACTGCGACTTTCTAAAAAACCAAACAGCCTTTCCAGTAAAGCATTAAATATGTCGACCAAATAATCTAGCTGTTGGTTACAAAATTGTTCTCTTCACTTCACCCGAGACCTGTGGCTTGAATTTTCTCCAATTATTAACTCCCCCCAAGGGATGGAGGTTATCAAAGAGTCCAATTAACACTTTGACATCATTTTAAAATTCTGCCTTGTTCATTCTCTTGGGTCTTATTGTGAATATTGACAAAGCTGGAAGCAGTCTACAACTTGTCAAACAATGGTGGCAGAGGTGTGACTGCATGGGTGTTTAACATGATCACTGTTCTTGTGCCATTAACTCCTTGCCTTGCCCTGTCAAATTCGATTTTTGACAACTGTGTATTTGGTGGGGCAAAGACAATGAGATGCTGTGCAGAAAATTTTGGAAGATGTAGCTTTGATGTTCCTTTTACCATGATTTTTATGATTTTAATTTCCATTTTTGCTCTGACTCGTTTTTGTTGAATGATCATGATTTCTTTTGATCTTTTGTTTTCTTTTGCCAAGCACTGTGTGTTGTGACTTGGTGGTGGCGTTACTCTGTTGGAAAAGTCTTGTTTCTTTTCTGACTCATTATGACGTTCCTTAACTTGACCCAATCTGTAATCCCCTGGCTGCTTCCCTTTTCATTCCCTGGCGTGGATGCCTCAATGACGTCACATCCGTGTGTGCAGCATCTCCTGGGATGCGAGAGTTTCCTGGGTTTTCCGAGGGCCTCTGGCAGGTGCTCTCTTCACTGGGTCGATTGTCTCATGGGAATGTGACATTTGTACGCGCCAGCTTTAGGAGCTAAATATACTCTGGAATTGTTTCTAAAATGCTGCACATTTCCCCCACTAAGCAGAAAATGTGTCCGCTGACCCGCTAGCTGAAGAGTCAAATGTCCAATGCCCTTTTTATGTTGGCCACTGGAAAAAAAACACACCGGTGAGCAGACTAGACCACGGCTCTGCCCTGCAGACATGCTGGCCACCACGGCTAGTCCCATGCTCTGACCCACCTCCTCCTCCAAACAAGTCTGCATTTCCAGAGTATGTTTGCTTGCCTTTTCTTTCTTTTCCTTGCTGTGTCTTTCGTGTTGAGTTAATCCTGTGCGTCCCTCGCATTCTGTTAAAGCACCGTTCCCGGCCTTGCAATCTAACCCCTTCTGCTGCCATTGTTCTTAGCCTCCCTCTTTCCAAATAATAGACCCAAGCCCTCTGCCCCTCTGTGGAATGTTCCAAGGCTCTTTCCTTCTCTGCTGTGAGTAGCACTCGGATGTTGTCTGAATATCTAGTCATATTAACAAAGCGTGAGAAGAGACCTGCAAAGCACACAGAAGCATCATCACAGAAAATGAAGTAATTTTCTCGCTCAGTAACTGGCCTTGCCCTTCATTACCCTACTGGCCTTGTCTAATGTCTCTTGTCCTTGCTGCTTTTCTTTAAAATTGCCTGATATCTTTCAAGCCCTGGATTCATTAGTAAAAACACAGCCAACTGCTCTGTTTTATCTCTGGGTCCCTAGATGTCTGGAGCCTCTAAAGCCAGCCCTTTAATCACCAAGTTGATAAATTAGATGCAGCCCTGGCTACTTCCTTCTTAGTTTTGCCACATTTAAAAGTATATATTATATTTATTCTTCCTATAACGATTGAGGTAGTGATCAGTAGTTACAAAGGGGCTCTAATTACATGTAAATAAGAAAGAAAATCCAGTGTATTTTTAGATCTGGCTTGTCTCCCCTCACCACCAACCCTTCCCACAGCAAAAACAATAAAATAAAAGTTTCTTTTCTTAGGGTAAGCAATACTGAGGATTAATAGTCACTCTTGTGCTTCTTGTTTCTGACCAAAAGTAACAATACCATAAAACCTGATTTCCAAGAAGACTACAAGATATGGGAGGAAATTAGCCATGTACAGATGTGCCTAGAGAGCTGTGTAGCATAAATGTAAAATATAAATGCTGACCATTGGGATGCAAGAATGAATTAGAAACAGAAGAAAATCTCCTACTTCAGACTTTATTTTATAGAGTTCTTGTGAGCTCTCAGAAAATAGATGACATAGTCGATCTATACGATGTGCCCATTTGATTGGAAATGCCAGAATTGCAGTATGCTTATTTATTTTGGGAAATCTTTAAAGTGAAATGTTATCACATTATCACATTTAGTCAAGATATGCTTGCTATAGACATGGAAAAGATATACAAACAGAATTTAAACAAGAAATCAAATGAATAATTCAAACTAAAATGTACAGTAAATGTTGAATATATTCTAATCAATGTACGAGCTATTTGTATAAGCAATATTTAGTCCGGGAAATAATAGCCTGGTAAGATTCATAAGGTCTATAGAGGATAATGAGTATATTATACACACTCCATAACAATCCTGAATGGAATTTTATAAATCACAGGGCTTGGTAACAATCCTCTTTATAGTCGATTATTTATTCCTCAGAGGCACCTTAGCCCAGAGTAGCACTGCCTCCAGGTCAGACACGCAACACCTTACAGAAGATGCGTTAGGGGGCTTGGGGCATCGTGGCTTTCAAGAATCATGTGGTGGAAAGCCACACCACTTTCATTTCTCTTCGCATCTTATTGGTGATTTCAAGGAAAAGTCTGAGTTTGGTGCTTTATCATTAACAAGTCCCTAAACTTGCTCCTATCTCTTTTGACAAGAAAGAATTGGCTTTAGGTTGTGGGCTGTGACTTGGAGCTTGAATTAACATTGTTTTGCTTTCAGTGGATTTTATTATAGCCACCTTTTATCTATGAAAAGTGACACTTTTCCCCATGTCTGGTAATGATATAAAGTTTCCATTTGAAATACATTCTAAAGGCAATTTAAAGAAAATATTAAGTAAATAACAAGTAATTAATATAGTCCATGAGAGTCATTGGTAGCACTAAAATTGGAGTATTGGTAGCTGAATGACTCAGATTTGGGTAACTCTGGCCTACAGTAGTTAAAAGACTCCACCAAGGATTAAACTACCACCAAAACTTTGCTTCTGGCATTTGGAAGAACAAAATTTAATAATCGCTCTACCTTCTGTTGCTGGGCTCTAAATGTTCCAATTACATTATCTAGTGCTCTTCCGATTTCTCCTCCAACTACTAAGCTTTTGTGATTGGCAATGAAAAGTTTGGTCAAGGAGGAATTTAGAGTAAAATGAATTTAAACTAAAAAAAAAAAAAAAAAAAGTCATTCTAGGCTTGTTAAGCATCTGGTGAGATTTTTCTCCAGACAGCAGTGAGCAGCCAAGTGTAGACTACAGCTAGCTGTTACCCAAACTGTGGCCTGGGGGCGAGTTTACCTTTAGCGCTTGGGCTACTTTCCCCACATCTGGAAGGGCTCCTGTATTACAGTGCCTCCCTTGGCCTGGCAATAACCTACACTTGACCCTTCTTTCCCTTTTCTCATTCAAACTTTACCTATTCTGAGTCCCAGACCATTAGAGCCCAGCTTTCCTCATTAGCAAGCTTAGAAACCCAGCTTTAAGTGAGTATATTTGATAATAGAACCTAGCCCTGATCGCTCTTCCATGTTAACAAACTCCAATGTTTGAAATCTTATGGGTTGGGGAT